AGACAAAAATCTCAGTGCATATAAAACGTGAAATTTATGTACCAGGAATGCTTATGGAGTAAATATGAGTCCTTAATAGAGTTCAGGCACATTGTAGATGAAAACTAGGGAAATGGGACAGAATATTCATGATATTTTAACTTCCTAAGGAATTAGCCTATGGGTCCAGGTGAGGATAAAGGAAGATCATAAATTAAAGGAAATTCTGAGATCTGATTCATAGCAATGGCCATAAGTTCCATCAGTTGGGCTGCTGTATTTATGATATGGGATATGTGGATAACATTTTTGTTATGCATAGGTAGAGAAAAGTAGAATGCTATGTTCTTTCTGAAAGGAGCCACAATGTTCTAGGAACAGTCAGCGTGCCTGCTACCTGCATGAGAGCCCCAAGCTAGGTAAATGTCACATGCCCAAACAAGGCCTGCTTTGGAAGACTGTTTAAAGAGTTACTGAGCCTTAGAAACAGACTTGGGAGAAAACAATCCACTTTAAAGGATGTTTTAGGGGGCATATATATTTTTATTTCTAAAAACACCAAGCTGAGTATTGTAGTACACACTTGTAATCCTAGGATGGTGGAGGGAGTAAAACCAGAGGTACACAAATTTGAGGTCATCCCTGGCTGCATAGTGAATTTCAGTCCAGTGTGGGCTAAAAAATGAAAACCTGTCTCAACCCTACCCTCTAAAATTAGATAATGCTGAAACAGAAAGTACCTTTAGAAAGCAGTAAACCTAAGGTAGCTTGAAAGTATCAGGTGAAACTTTTGCCTCAGCATCACCTACAGAGCTTGTTTAAAATTCAGATTACAGTGTCTCGGTCAAGACCCCCTGTCTCATATTATAAAATTCAGATTACAGAGTCCTGTCCAAGACCCACCTTCTCATACTATGAAGTAGAAGAGTCCCTATGTCAAACTCCCAAGAGATTCTGAGACACATTGAAATATTCTTTATGTTTCTCTGCAATATTCCCAAGATCAAACTTGAGGCCCATGTACATACTTCAGTATGATCTAGAGTACTTGTAAAGATCCCATTTCTGGATTCCCTGCTATCTCTTTTTTGTTATAATTTCTATTTTTTTAAACTTTTACAAAAGAGAATTTCATATATGCATATAAGGTGTTTTGAGCAAATCCATGCCCGCTCCCTCCATTCCAATACCTCCCATATCTCCCTATCCCTTTTTCTCTTTTTCTTATATTTTTCTTTTCTTCTTTAGCTTATTTATTTTTATGGGGCTTTTGGCTACTCTAACATTCCCCTCTCTGAAGAGGTAACCCTATTTAAGGATTAGATACAACCTCCAAAAAACTTTTGACATTTTTGGCCTTTTTCTTATGTGTGGCAAATTTTAAGAAGGTGAATGTCTTCACTGGGCCATAAAAACTTCTGTCTAGAGGGAGAGAGAGAATGACTTTCTCAAGGTTGTCAGTGTTAATGATGAAAGAGTTAAGCTCACACATGGCTCTGCAGACAGGTTCAAACACTATGCCTCCTTGGTCACCCTTACAAGGGTGATCTATATCTTGATTTAACTCCTGTGGCGGTCACAAAGTTTTATTATAAGCAATAGGGTACTGCAAGACTGAAGAGAGTCTGCTTCCTGATACCATAACATAGTGCCTGCGATAATCACTTTAAAAGGGAAAAGGTTAATTTTGACACACTGTTTTGGAAGTTTCAATATATAATATGTTAGTCCTGTTACGTTGGGACTTTTTGACAGAGAGGTACACCATGGTAGAAGCACATGGTAGAAGCAAGATGCTCATCTAATGGAGGCCATGAAGCTATAAAAGAATGATAAAGGATGAATCATGATCCCTTTGAAGACTTACCCCAAACGACCCGAGAATCTCACAGTGTGCCCTATCTCTAAAGTGTGTCTACCACCTTCTAATAGTGCCAAGCTAAAGATCAAACTCTTAAAATTATGTCCTTTTAGAGAAATTCCACATCCACACTATAGCAAAATCCTTCTGAAAACATGGTCTTAAAGGATTCTACAATGGAATACTGTCCAGAAAAACTATTAGCATGGCTTGAGTTAAATGAATGTGAACCTCCAAATGACTTGGACTGTAGTATACTAAAATCATTTGATGCTATGTCTTTTGTAGTTACAACATGTACCTGTTAAGCAATAGCTGGTATCTATGTACTTTTCTATCAGGTCTACTTCAGTCACACTAGTCTGATACTCCAAAATCTAGGCAGTTGAGATTACTGTTCTGCTTCTGTTTTGTCAGTACAAGGCTACATCCTTTAGACTAGCAGTATTTGTAGTGGCATCCTCTATGCGAAAACCAAGAGGAGGCCACTGACCTATGAAAAGAGAATAATTTTCTAAATGATACAGTCAGATACATTTTCTCTGAAGTATTAAGCATTTGCCATTGGCAACAGTGGCATTATATGATTTGCATTTGGGTAATGCTTATAATTTTAGCAAGTGTTTCACTGGTGCTACCTAATTAAGAAAATTAAATGCTAAGATACCTTGAATACATAATTCTCTAAAGAAACAGGAACCTTCAACAAAGATCTGAAATTGCTGAGGGCAGAAGTAAAGGACAGAATGTAGAGACAGAAAGAAAAAGTTATAATGACAGCCAATACAATCAGAAGAGTTTGCTAGAGGTCTACAATCCCTTGCTTCAATTCTTAAATCAAAAGCTCAATAAGATGGAAGCCACTTTTTCATTAATTTGGTGGCAAAATTCATATGGCTGCAAAACTTGGCCTGAATTGACATGAATTTAGACTTTACCTTGTTCAGTATGAATATTTAGACATTTTTTCCTGCTGAAATTTTAATGGCTTAATTATGGGATGTTTCCCCAGGTACTGCTGGAAATGTTATATAATAAACAATAATGTTATGTGCTACCTTTCTAAAATCTGAAAAGAGTAAAATTTGAATTATAAAATACAAATAACACAACTACTGACCTAGAAAGATGATAACTCACATTTATGAGCATTTGCCACCTGCTAGAAGCTATGTTAATCTCCTTTCATTTGCTCATAAAAACATTATGAAATAGTTATTACACGCATTTCCATTTTAAAGTTTGGATAGTGATTCTTGGAGAGAACGTCCAGAAACACAGCTTCAGGCCAGGATTGGGCTCAGGTCAGATTGTCCAGATGCTTAATTATTGCACTCCACTGGCTAAAGGATATGAAGAACTGTGAAGGGCAGTGTGAACTATTTATTGGTTTTATACAAAAGGAGAACAGGGATATTAACCATTCTGCATCATTTGAGGGACCTCTTACTTTCAGTTATATCATCTAATTCCCACTTCTCTGTGATACTACTAATATGGCTTCATTCCTTGAGCTACTGTGTTTTGCCCAGGGACCATCTACATAACAAATCAAGAGTCCAGCTTGTAAAACTAAAGATTTGTAGGATTCACCCCAGCACCACTAAAGCAAATTTTCTAAGTATTGGGACTAGGTACTGTGTAAAGAGTAATATCCTGGGGCCTGGAGAGATGTCAGGGTGGTTAAGAAGTGCTGGTTACTCTTGCAGAAGACACGGCTTCAGTTCCCAGCATCCACATGTCTCTCTCTCTCTCTC